CCCAGTGGTTAAGGTTGTTTCAGTGGGTTGTGTAGGCTTCCTCTTGGAGGAGACTAGTGCCTGTGTTGTGGTGTATGAGGCTAGATCTTGTTTCTCTAGTGGGCAGGTCCACGTCTGGTGGTGTGTTTTGGGGTGTCTGTGGACTTACTATGATTTTAGGCAGCCTCTCTGCTAGTGGGTGGGGTTGTGTTCCTGTCTTGCTAGTTGTTTGGCATAGGTTGTCCAGCACTGCAGCTTGCTGGTCGTTGAGTGAAGCTGGGTGCTGGTGTTAAGATGGAGGTCTCTGGGAGATTTTCGCCGTTTGATATTATGTGGAGCTGGGAGGTCTCTTGTGGACCAGTGTCCTGAAGTTGGCTCTCCCACCTCAGAGTCCTGACTCCTGGCTGGAGCAGCAAGAGCCTTTCATCCACACGGCTCCTCAATTTGGGATGATTCCCTGTCTATTCATGTATTCCACAGATGCAGGGTACATCAAGTTGATTGTGGAGCTTTAATCCGAGGTTTCTGAGGCTGCTGGGAGAGATTTTCCTTTCTCTTCTTTGTTCTCACAGCTCACAGGGGCTCAGCTTTCGATTTGGCCCTGCCTCTGCGTGTGGGTCGCTGGAGGCCGTCTGTCTCTTGCTCAGACAGGACGGGGTTAAAGGAGCTGCTGACTCGGGGGCTCTGGCTCACTCAGGCCAGGGCCAGCCTGAGGTCCGCCGTGTGTTCTCCCTGGGAAGTTGTCCCTGGATCCCGGGAACCTGGCAGTGTCGGGCTGCACAGGCTCCCCGGAAGAGGGGGGTGGATAGTGACCTGTGCTCGCACACAGGCTTCTTGGTGGCGGCAGCAGCAGCCTTAGCGTCTCCCGCCCGTCTCTGGGGTCCGTGCTTTTAGCCACGGCTAGCACCTGTCTCTGGAGTTCCTTTAAGCAGCGCTCTTAAACCCCTCTCCTCGCGCACCAGGAAACAAAGAGGGAAGAAAAAGTCTCTTGCCTCTTCGGCAGGTGCAGACTTTTCCCCGGACTCCCTCCCGGCTAGCCGTGGCGCACTAACCCCTTCGGGCTATGTTCAAGGCGTCAACCCCAGTCCTCTCCCTGCGCTCGGACCGAAACCCGAGCCTCAGCTCGCAGCCCCGCCCTCCCCGGCGGGTGAGCAAAGTCTCTCGGGCTGGTGAGTGCCGGTCGGCGCCGATCCTCTGTGCGGGAATCTCTCCGCTTTGCCCTCCGCACCCCTGTTGCTGTGCTGTCCTCGCGGCTCCGAAGCTCCCCGCTCCGCCTCCCGCAGTCTCTGCCCGCGAAGGGGCTTCCTAGTGTGTGGAGACCTTTCCTCCTTCACAGCTGCCTCCCACTGGTGCAGGTGCCGTCCCTATTCTTTTGTCTCTGTTTTTTTTTTTTTTTTTGCCCTACCCAGGTACGTGGGGAGTTTCTTGCCTTTTGGGAGGTCTGAGGTCTTCTGCCAGCATTCAGTAGGTGTTCTGTAGGAGTTGTTCCACATGTAGATATATTTCTGGTGTATCTGTGGGGAGGAAGGTGATCTCCGCGTCTTACTCCTCCGCCATCTTCCCAGCACCCCCCCTGAATGTTTTAATTATGTAATTGTGGTTTAAATTTTCACTCAACTATTTGATCTCCTGGTACTTTCCCCTGTGAATCCATGCAGATGGGCATAAAACTGAACAGGGCCATTGTGAAAAAAAGTTGATAGGCAGAATTTGATTTTAAAGCTTATTGTTTAGAAGCCTATTACATAGAATAGTGATCTCAACATTTTTGATTATTCACTGCTGTTGTTAAGCACTCCCAAAATAAATATACTGATATATTGATATCATAAATGATATACTGTTATAAGTTATGATACTTGGTATGTTTACATATAAGGTACAATGTAAAACAAAAAGAGAAACTAAAAAGATAAGTTCATAAATATAAATAGAAGTTCTGGGATTTCTTTCTAACATGCTAAAGAAGAGTTTTATATACTCCATACTAACAATATATAGGACTGTACTCAGATGTGCAGATAGATTTCTTCGTTTCATTTTTAAATGAATACAAAGGCCAGGAATACCTTCCTTTGGTGAAAGTGGTGCAAAATATATTTATATATAATTATAAGCTTTTATAATAATTGACAAGGTAGAAATCATTCAGAAGATGTGTGATCTTAAGTCATATACTCTGAGAGGTCAAAAAGTTAATACAAACATTTCCACACATCAGTGCTAGAGATTTTATAGTTTTGACTTTTTAACAAAGACTAACTGCCTGTATTTTGGGGCATACCAACTCAAACTCACCCTTGGATCTATCTATACTTAAATTTTATGCAAGGTGTTAAGTGGGTTAAAGTACCAGGAAGTCTGTGCGGCACAGAGTACTATATATATATGTGATAGCTGCTGTCATCATCATCATCAGAATTGCATCATCAACCATATATTGGGTTGGCCAACAGGTTCCTTCGATTTTTAAAGTAAAAATAAAAGACACGTTTTTAATTTTCACCAAGAAGTTTATTGAACATCATATGCACCGTTTTTTCCCATTACCTTCCCAAAACTTTTTATCTTTTTGAGCAAAGAACTGTTCCAGGTGCCTTTTACAGTCTTCCAGGGAATTGAAATTTTTTTTTTCCATTAAGAGAATTTTGTAAAGACCAAAATGAATGGAAATTCAAAGGTTCAATGTCTGGTGAATACAGCAGATGAATCAGAACTTCCCAGACAAGCTGTACCAGTTTTTGACTGGTCATCAAAGAAACATGTGGTCTTGCGTTATCCTGATGGAAGATGATGAGTTTTCTGTCGACTAATCCCAGACGCTTTTCGTCAAGTGCTGCTTTCAGTTGGTCTATTTGGGAGCAGTACTTGTTGGAATTAATCATTTAGTTCTCTGGAAGGAGCGCATAATAGAGGACTCCCTTCCAATCCCACCATATACACACATCAACTTCTTCGGATGAAGACCAGCCTTTGGTGTGGTTGGTGGTGGTTCATTTTGCTTGCCCCACGATCTCTTCCGTTCCACATTGTTGTACAGTATCCACTTTTCATCACCTGTCATAATTTGTTTTAAAAATGGAATGTTTTCATTACATTGCAGTAGAGGATCTCATGTGGAAATACAGTCAAGAAGGTTTTCCTCAGTTAACTTATGTGGAACCCAAGATCAAAGTGATTAACATAACCAAGCTGGTGCAAATGATTTTCAATGCTTGATTTGGATATTTTGAGTATGTCAGCTATCTCCCATGTGGTATAACGTTGATTATTCTCAATTAATGTCTCAATTTCATCACTGTCAACTTCAACTGGTCTACCTGATCATGGAACATCGTCCAGCGAGAAATCTCCAAAACAAAACTTTGCAAACCACTTTTGACAAGTTCAATCAGTCACAGCACCTTTCCACACACTGCACAAATCTTTTTGTGTGTTTCAGTTGCATTTTTACCTTTCTTGAAATAATGAAGCATAATATGCCGAAAATGTTGCTTTTTTTCTTCCATCTTCAATATTAAAATGGGTACACAAAAATTCACCAATTTTGATAAGTTTGTTTTTTAATGCATGCTGATATGACAGCTGTCACAATACAATATAACAAAATTATTTTGAATGAAGTTAAAGACAACTAAGCGCTACTAGAGCCATCTTACGGAAAAAAACAAACGAACTTTTTGGCCAACCCAGTATATAAACTGTATGTGTGAACCATGTATAAACAGTACACAAAGTGTTTAGGGAAATTCTGTACCACTATTTGAAAGACAATATAGAAAGAAACGTCTGATGTTACCTTTAGTTCTGATGTTTTCTTAACAGAAGAACGTACAAGGTGAAGACCCAGTAAACAGAAACTTAAATTGTGAAGTATTGCGAATTTTTGTTTATCTTAGTCAAATTCTTTCACCTCTCAATTTACCTTTTATAATTAATCTTTTACTTCATTCATTCAGTAAATTTTTATAGTGATATGTACCAGTTACAATTTTCAGTGATATACTTTGGTAAACAATGCAAATGAAGTTTCTGTTATCATGGATCTTATTTTCTACTGGGGAGAGACATTCATTCAACAAACCAGAAAACAAACAAGATATTGTCAAATAGTGTTAAGTGCTTAGAAAATAGTTATGAATGAATGCTGTGAACATTTTATTTATGACCTCAGTTTTCCCTTCCTAAAATATTTGTTACATTTACACTTTAGCATAGTTGGTTTTCTTGAGTGAAATGCTAATTTCCTTTGCTTTACTTTCCTACTATTGTTTTTAGTACAAATACAGATAGCAATTATATTCTTTTCATGTTTTGTAAGAAACCGAACTCAATCTAAAAGTAAAATTTTAGATTTTATCCATCAGTCACTCTGTCTTACTTCATGCATAAAAGCTGCAGTTACCTAGAATGTTCAAATTATTTGGCATCTGAAATCCTTGTTTTCATCTGTAAAAATTGTCTCTGGCTAACAAACTATAACACTTCTAAGTCACTTTAAGTCAATGGGAAATTTGGTAATAAAGTAACTCTATAGTGATAGATTAATAAACATTTAATTATGTATCATTAAGGTAATCATCTCATATTTAGATTAATTTGTTGCCTTCGAATTGCACATAGAACCTTTTAAAATATATCATTACTATTATATTAAGAGTTTCTTGATGTGTTAATTATTTGACCTCTGATTTTAATCTTTAATTTACTAAAAGAAAGTTTATCTGTGTTTAAAGACTCACACATTTGAACCAATTCAGATAAGCATTGCTCTCTAGCACTGATTCTTAATCTATTTTGGGTGACAGATTCCTTTAAGAATCAGATATGATTATGGAACCTCATCACACAAAAGTTGACATAAGTATAGCCATACATTCTGCAGATACCTTAAGAGGGTTTGAAGACTCTTTTTAGCTCATCCTTGACCCCCAAGTTTAGAGCAACTCATCTATAGTAATGGAGTTCATAGGTTTGTGTATATTAAGGTTAATATATTACTTTGTTGTGTTTTCTGTTAGGCTTACCTCACTTTTCTTCTGGTATTTTCCGCTGCTGGGGAAGGGATACTTTTATTGCCCTCAGAGGTCTGCTGCTGATTACTGGACGCTACTTGGAGGCCAGGTAGGAAATCTCTAAAAAGTTGCAGTGCAGGTTTATGTTTGAATGTTTTTCACATGCTCTTCAAACTTTTCTTATTCATCTATTCTCAACATTTGGGAGGCATGTTTTCCTTAGGTGTGTTTTTTTTATTTTATTTTTTATATATTCAATTAATAGGATCATAGAATTTCAAAGAAGTGAAAATCTTTAAAGTTACCAAATTCTAATCCTTCATGTTACAGATCAGGTTATCTTTAGCATTTGCTACTTTATTTAAAGTAAAACTAAAAAATGTATAACCATATTACTAACATCACTCACTAAAGAGTAAAATTTCTATGCCCAAGTTAAGTGTAAGAACTCAGATGAACTTTTAGGTAAAATTGGAAAGTCTGCCATTTTTTGTTCTTCCATAATAAAGGCATTGCTGGCTTTTTGACGGAGTCCAGTAGAAAGAATTATAATACCAGGTTTTCTTCTTTTTAATGTCAGACCTCGTAACCTCCAGTTTTATGTCTTCTAGACTTAAAATGGTGTTTTCTTATGTCACAATATTATGTATGAATTTATCGGAGGTAGAAAAGAAAGGCTGTACATCAGTGCTGTATAGTGTTCCACAAATCAGCAGTGTCACCATCATCTGACAGCTTGTTAGAAATGCAAATTCTTGATCTCTATGCTGGATCTGCTGAATCCAAACCTGGGGGTGGAAAGGGCAGAGTTGGCAGATGGCAATCTGTGTTTCTGCGGGGGCTCCAGGTGATTTTCAGCGGCCTAAGACTAAAGTTTGAAATCACTGCTCTGCAAGTTAAAACTTGTAGCAAAAAAAGCATTTATATGATACCTTATTTTGATGTCACCCGAGAAATAACTGGAGGTTTGCCTCTCCAAATGACAAGTTTTATTTCTGATCCTTTTAAAATTGGAAATTTCTAAGTGAGCATCTAAAATGTATTATATGCTTCCCTATACTAACCTAATATATAATAAGACCTTTTATTATGGACTTAAGATACTATTATGGGGCTATAGAAATTTGGGAGGCTGTGTTCTTCTTCCCCAAATGCCCCTAAATGACCGTGATTAAGAAGTAGGAAGTGGAACGTCAGGAGCATAGTATAGTGGTTAAGAACTTGGGTTTGGGCCAGACACCAGGTTCTAATCCTGGTTCCAAATGCCCACCTGACAAATTACTTGTTCTCTTTGTGCTCTCCGTAGAATGGTTATAGTACTTAGCTTATAGGGTTTTTGTGAAGATTAAATAAGCTAATACAGTTAAAGTATCTAGAGCAATGTCTGCCACATGCTAAGCACTCCATAAATGTTCATTTTTAAAATAATTATTGTTACTTTCATTTAAAGTACCTAGAGCAATGTCTGCCACATGCTAAGCACTCCATAAATGTTCATTTTAAAAATAATTATTGTTACTTTCATTGTTATCTGGGCTCCCAATGGTCACTTCTATGTACTGTCAAAAATTTCTGCTACTTAGTTTTACATATGACTGTCTAGATCAGGCATCAGCTAACTATGGCCTGTCACTTGTTTTGTATGACCTATGAGCTAAGAATGGTTTTTACGTTTTTAAAGGATCATTAAAAAAAAAAAAAAGAATATATGATGAGACCATATATGGCCAACAAAGCCTAAAATATTTACTGTCTGACCCTTTACAGAAAAAAAGTTTGCCTACCCCTGATCTAGATGATTTCCCAGAAGATAATGCATTTGTTACGGTAGTGCTAGCTGCTATGAATTATAAACTCTTAAATTTCAATGGCTTTTCACAAACGAAATTCATTTGCTTCTGGTCCTGTACGGGTGTTGAGGAAGGAACTTTCTACTTAGTGGTGAAGGAATATAGGCTTCTTTATCTTCAGGATATACCATCTTCCAGGGACTCTATGTTCTCTCCAGTCAGCTGGCAGAGAGGGAAAGAGAGCC